TGGAAGTTCTGGCTCTGTCTGGCCCACCTGTAGTTTCTTAGGTAATTTTCAGATTGCAAAGGGCCAGGGCATTCATATGCAAAAGCCTCTGCTCACAGCTTGGGTGGGGCGGGGTCTCAGGGAATCAACAGGGCAGAGCAAACAGCTATGGCTGATCCTCAGCCCTGCCCCTGGTCTCAGTGTCCCACGGTAATCGCTGCAAGCACCTCTGAGAGAAAGCTGCCCTTGAGCTCTGACCGATGCCAGTCAGTTTCTCCCCGTAAGTGCCTGGGCCCCCAGAGACTCGCCCGGAACTGAGTTCAGAGCAGTAGGGAGCCGTGACTCCCTCCCAATTGAAAAAGACAACCGCATCCTCAGTTGCCAGGCCTTTCCACGTGAGCCTCCATACCTCTGCACTTTACTTCCGCACTACCTCTGAGTCTCAGTGTGCTTTTCTCTTTCCTTCTAGTTGTAGAATTTCCACTCAGCCAGCCATACTGTAGTTCTGGATGATGTCCGTTTTGTCTTTTAGTTGTATTTTTGAAGTTGTTGTGGGAGGCAGCAATTTCCGGTGTTTGCCTATGCCGCCATCTTGGTTTTTCTCCTCTTTTGGTTACTATTTGAATGGAATATTTTTCTTTTTTTTTACTGTCAACCTATGTGGCTCATTTGATATAAAGTCTCCTGTCTGCATTTTTGTTTTGAATAGTTTCCATTAATGTCTTTGAATTCACTAATCTTTTCTTCTTCAGTGACTAATTTGCTGTTAAATTTTTTATCTTACAAACTGTATTTTTCATCTCTAGAAATCTGAATTGGGGTTTCTTCCCCTATCTTCCATGTCTCTTATCATGCTCATGTTCTTCTCTACTTTCCTGAACATATGGAATATACACATACATACATACCTACTTATCTATCTTTTAACACTTTGTTTACTAATTGTCACTTGTTATTTCTGGATTGTTTCCATTCTATGATTTTTCCCCTTTTTATGGGTATTTTCTGACTTTGCATGCCTGGTTATTTTTGATTGCCTGCCAGACATTGTGAATTTTGCTTTGCGGTGGTGAACTTCTTTATATTCCCTTAAGTATGGTGAGGCTTTTTCTGAAATATACGTAAGTAACTTGAAATAGTTTGATCTGTTTAAGACTTGCTTTTAAGGTTGTTAGGCTGCCCAGTGCAGCTGTTAGTCAAGTGTTAATTTGGTTCCATTACTGTGGACTCCGTTTAATGCTTATTATGTTACGAGGTCTCTTCAAACTGACTGGTGGGGATATAAACTACTCCCTGCCCCATGTGAGCTCTAGGGATTGTCCTGCCAGCTCCTGTCCACTGGCTCTTTCCATAGCTCCAGGAGTTTGCTCACAGTGACTCATGAGGAAGTCCCTGTAGATCTTGAGAGCTGTGTGAAGCTCTTTACACTCTAGTACTCTGCCCTACAAAATAACAGCCATTTCAGCCTCCCCAAACTCTGAATTTGGTTTCTTCAACTGAGCAAGACCTCCAGGCCCTGTGTGGGTTTTCCTTCCCTATGCTGCAGCCTGGAAATTCTCTCTAGACAGTGAACTGCAATCAGAGGGCCGATGTCTTTTGTTTCTCTTCTTTTAGGGATTCTTATCTGCACTAACTGTTTCCAATAACTGAAAACTGTTGTTTTATATATTTTGTCTGGTTTTCTGGCAGGAGGCAAGAGGGTAAATCCAGTCCCTGTTACACCTTATTTATAGCTAGAGACAACAATCTTTTTTATAATATTAAAAATTACTTTCTTAATTTACTAGTTTCACAATTATGTAAAATGTAAAGCTCCAAAGTTAAAACAAGGTATATGCAGAAAAGTCTATGATCTATCTCTTTGCCTTCCTCCACACACCTAGGTAACCATTTTTTAGTTTTCCCTTTTGATTTCCATTAGTATTTTTATTATTAATATAAGCAAATATGTATATCTACTCTAATTCCCTCCCTCTTCTTAGATAATTGGTAGCATTCTATACACTTTTCTCTACCTTGTTTTACTTAGTAATACACCCTAAATATTACTGCATAGGAGTATAGATAGTTCTCACTCCTTTTTACAGCTATATAGAATGTAATATTTTACAAAAGCCATTACATTTCAAGCCCATCTTTTTCATTTGTAACTTATAGAAAGGAATTAAAACTATAAAAACATCATCAGTGACCGTTTCCAGGTTTTTACTTACGCCATGCTGAAAGAGGGCTTTGCATCTTGATCAGACAGAGAAGCAACGGTATGCTGAGGAAATCCTTCATAGAAAAAATGTATTACTTCCTTTTTCCAAGCAAATAACAAAATTCTAGGACCAGAAACTAAAAATGTTCCTACCACAAAGCCCACAAAGTTGTATAAAAGTTCTTTTTCCTGCCTTTAGGTATGTTTAATATAGCGTGGTCAAACTGACTGTAATTCCAGGTTATAAGAAAAATAAAAGTGGAGGAAATGGGGGAAAGATCTGTCCACACATATGACCTCAGATTCTCAAGTTCATATCTATATTTTCTAATTTAATAATAACACATATTGCTTTTTAAGAAGAAAATGTAATTTTTAAACAGTTACTGATACAACAGAGGAATCTATTACTTAATCTACTTTCACTTTATATAAAAATATATGTCCCTGTTTAACATTTTGGAATATCCAAACACATGTAATGTGCTTTTCACATATATTTTTCAATTTGAAGACAAACCCAAGAAAAACATAAACCATAAACAAAAACGTATTTTATTACATAAAAATGTTGAATATATGTACATATCAAAACAAATTTAAGGTAAATGACCAACTGAAAAAATATTTACATCAGGTGATAGAAAATGGGTTGATATTCCTAAATGGCTCTAACAAATTAATTTGAAGAATAAATTATTATTATTTTTTTTAAATATATTTTATTGATTTTTTACAGAGAGGAAGGGAGAGAGATAGAGAGTCAGAAACATCGATGAGAGAGAAACATCGATCAGCCGCCTCCTGCACACTCCCCACTGGGGATGTGCCCACAACCCAGGTACATGCCCTTGACCGGAATCGAACCTGGGACCC